TCCTGTAACACAGATTAATAATAATCCATCCTGAAACACAGATTAATAATAATTTATAAAACTATGACCACTGTATCCATCCTGTAACACAGATGAATAATAATCCATCCTGCAACACAGATGAATAATAATCCATCCTGTAACACAGATTAATAATAATCCATCCTGTAACACAGATTAATAATAATCCATCCTGTAACACAGATTAATAATAATCCATCCTGTAACACAGATTAATAATGATCCATCCTGTAACCCAGATTAATTCTCTTGGAGTCAGATATATTTCTCTCCTGTAAGCAGCCATTCTTGCTAACTACTGAATCTCAACAACTTAACTCAGGACCTGAAGTAGGCTTAGGTTTACCCTCAAAGGAATAAAACATTAATGARAACAGAATAAACTCGATCTAAGACTGTTAATATCGAGCTGAGAGTTCATTTTAAAAATCACCTAAAACTAAGATGTTAGCTAGCAGCACAAAGAAGACAAGTCGCGTGCAACAAAGTTGGGCACGAGCTGTTTCTGCAGAAAATAAACAAACAGGAATCCTGGCTTCCGTTGTTTACCTTTCCTGGGAGTAATCTCCACTTAGTTCCTCAAAAGTCATGTTTAACATTCAATCCAAATCCTCCGCTGTGAAGAGAAAAAACTGCTGGTGTTTTCTCGATCTTATCCGTGCCTCACAGACCTACAACTGACACATATCTCTGGCAGCTTCACGTTAAAACAGAGCCGGCCGGCCGGCAGACGGAGTCATGTGAACAGCTGCGTTCATTGGTCAGCATGCTGACCACTCTGTGACGGGATTGGCTGAACACACGGCAAGAGGCGTGTCCACCGGTCAGGGTTAAACACTGGAACAGCTGACTGTTTCTGGGTGAGATTTTGGCAGCCTTCCTGAGAAGACTGAGGTATCATGAAAAATGTGTTAATACAAAATTATGAGCCTCCCAACATATTAATTTAGACCCAGTTCAGTTCGCCACAACTATGAAGAAATTACTGAATGCTGTAGGCTAATTAATGGACCAGAACACAACTGTACACGTCTGCAGTAGTTCTCACTGTGTGCTGGGGCCCCCTGGGGGTGGAGGGGATGTACTGTTGCTCAATTGTTGTATTTTTTTCTTTTCAATTAAAAAAAGCATTCAGAGAAAGCAGAAAATAATCTGACATAATTAGAAATAAATGCAGTAATATATGAACGGACCATCAAATAAATAAACAAATACAAATATACATATAAATAAATACACTTAAAATGCACCAATTAAATTGAAAAAGGAGAACTTTACCTCATATTTCATGATTTCATTGACCTTCACATTTATTTTCCAGCTTAGTTCTAATAAATTATATATTTTACCACATAATTTAAATTGTACTGTTTTTAAAAAATATGTGATTTGTTTTTCTTTTACTTGTACATGCATTTGCATCTCTTAAAT